TACGAATTATCTTAATGTCATTAATTAATGTTACATCATTTTCTAGAAAGTAAAGTTGTGCTGGTTTTATTAAATGACAATTCAGATTAATCTTATTTATTATTAATTTTAAGTATTGGATTTTTTCACTAATAAGTGACACTAACTAGACACTAATTAGACATTAAATGCCATCGACACAAACATAATTTTATGTCAGAATGAATCATTAAACGAAGCAGCTTTAGTGAATTTATCAATGTTAATATTCATTATATCAAAGTAAACATGTATTGTATCATACACGTATGAATTGAAAGTTGTATAAAAATATAATTCTGTTTATTCGTAAATTCAACATAATATCAAACTAACCTAAAATTTTATAATATACTTTTAATCATTTCTCTTACATTAGGAAGTCACATAAATTCTTCAGGATGTTGAAGGAAAATAAAAGGAAATAAAAAAAAAAATTTGTACAAAAAACCTTTTGCATAGATTTGTATATCTAAAGAAATAATACAACTTTTATTTCAAATATTTTTTATTTTCCATCCTTTACGATTTATAAACAATTGCGTAGAGAGACTCGGATGAAAGGGTTGACTTTTCCCTTAAAGTAAAAAACGAATACCAACGAATTATGGTTACATTCTTAGGTAGGCCTAATGAACAATTATGCAAAGTTTAATAACTACTGAGTCATTTAAAATATAGAGTATACATTGTAAACATGTAGTTAGAATAAGAATGATGTAGAAATTTCAGTCGTTCCAAACGATTAAACGTATCTGAATCTATCGAAAAAGATACCAATCACAACTGCTGTTGATTTCACGGCGGCTGACGTCAATGGCAACGGAATAATGTCGTCAATGATGAGTTATAGAGCTTTTAACGTGATTCCACACGATTCTATGTGTCAAAAATTATCGTAATCGGTATCAAAACTCGGTTTTCGATCAATTTGACGACGATCGGCGTCGATGGCAACAGGTTTACGTCGTCAGATTGCTGCCAAAAGGCATGCAGCAAATTTAGTGTCCCGCAAGTCTATCCTCAAAATTTCAAATCAAAAGACTCAAAATTGCAGACTGTATTATGGTACAGATAAATAAACAAATGAACAAATGCAGATACCAAGAGCATGATTACGTTCGGAAAAAGTCGACCGGTATTAGTCAGATTGTGGGACAAGTGGATGTCTTTTGTTGCTTTCCATATTATTCTTAGGAATAACTGGCGTGCTTCGTATCGCAAATATCACGCTTGTCAGCCACGATATTGTGATAGGATTACGTGTTGTAAGTTAACCATGGTAACTATGAAAGCGCTACTATTAAGATACGATAAAGTCCCACGCTTAGTCAACATCGGATTATTATGCTTGTATACGAAAGCTATACCGCGAGCCCGTTATTAATGCGACCGATGTTCATTCCGCACTCATCCGTAGATACGATCTCTCCGCCCAGTCAATCGGATCGTAGAGTCTAAACCCGTAATTACCATTAGCCCACCCATAGCGAGTGTGATGCTATAACAGGCCAAACCAACGAAAGTTTCAATTTACGCTTTTAGCTTGTTTAAACTGAGTTAGTTATACAAATTACGTAAAATGCGCGACAGTGTTCTGTACTTGAGTGTAACTCAAATCTAATCGGATGAAATAAGATTAAATGACTATGAAAGTCAGTTTCAATTTAAAATACAAATACAATCTAAATTTCAGTCTAATCTAATAAAATAAGACGTTGATACAAAAGTTATTTGGATAAATGTTTAAGAAAATATTTCTCACAGAGTCAAGGATACTAGTAATTTATCAGATGTCTGTGGTATTCATTGGAAATGGCATGCAAAATCAATCACAAATTTTATGACAAGTCCAGTTGTTGTCTGAGCGTTAGCGAAGACTATAAGATGAAAAATGTAGGGAAATTACCCACGCTAGGGCCAAAACTACTGGACCAAATTTTGAACCAAATTTTGAAAATTTGGTTGAGATTGGCCGACTTTAATCCACTTTTTTACCTTGCAATCTTGAAACCATTTACACGAGAGCGACTTGACAATATTCAAAGGAAACCATCCGTTGTTGAAAGGAGAAGATTTATGGCATCAAGAGATTTGTAGTTTTTAAATACATCCTACTTTGAATATAAGTTGTAAATTATCTTTTCATATTGTTTTCCGCATAAATTGCTTGAATTGATTCCATAATTTTCACATATCACAAATTTCATCCACAAAAATAAAAAAATTTTAAAACTTAATACAATTGACATAATTTACATGAAGCATAATCGATAAAATAAACAAACTAAATATTATCAAAGTTATAGAAGTTTTTAACAGCATAAAATGAAAAAAAAAGCTCGAGGCTAATGCTATTTATATCTTTTCAAATCATAGAATGAACGATTGATTTTTATTGGTGTAGCACAATCAATCTATATACGCACGCTCAGACTTCACTGTTATCAACAGTAGTCTAGTTAATTTTATTAATGTTATATTTATAATTTTGTTAATTTTATATTATTCACTTAAGAGTTGTTATAGTTTTAATAGCAATTATAAATTTGAGAGTCTTAGATCACAATTCATGTATGTGACACATTGGTTCCTATGCGCATATTCTTAATTTCACTGAAACGCAAATTCTTAAATAACTCAATTTAAATACAAATGAACTTAAGCTACTTTCAAGTTAAACGGCTCAAATGTAAGTTAATTTATACATGGAGAAAACAAGTAGGCTGGACAGCGGTAACAGTTCAGTAGGGTCTTTAAAATATCGCATAATCATCATTCCACGCACGATTATCGCTGTCATCATGTATCTTTATTCGGTTCGAAATTTCAACTAATCAATCATTCGAAACTTAAATGGTATTCGTGAACGCTGCATGAGATCTTACTTTTTTGTTTCCCTTGGGCTCGTGTTACTAATTACCGAGAGGTGGAAGATGATTTGCGTTTTATCCCGTTCAAATCTCAGATACGGGTCAATATAACTTTTCTAAATGATGGACCTACTCAAACATGATCCTTAACACGTTTTTTATTAGTGCATCACACATGGAAGTATAATGTCATTATGGTTATTAATAGACTAGATTTTTATACATTCATAATGAGTTGAAGCGAGCAAAATATATGCAAATGGTGTGATATGGTTGGAGAAACGGTGCAAGTTATTTAGAATATGTAAAATATGTAAAATATATTTTGTTTATAAATATTGTATATAAATTAAGCATAGGAAGAGGCATATTTATAAATAATAAATGATTTTTTTTTTAATAATCTGCGAAAAAAATGAAATTATTCGAGAGAAATAAATTATTCTGTATTCGAATAATCTTCAAGTAAAAATTTATTCAATGGATATGTTATGTATTCTGAAAAAATAAAATATTTTTTATTTTAATTAGTTTTGAATAAAAATTTTGAATAATATGATGTTATTTATTATTTACGAAAGAAATATTTCCTACTTTTTAATCGGTAAATTAAAAAAAAATCTCTGTATAAAAATGTATTTCATTTTTGCATAATTATTCATAATTCTATGGTAATGGCTGGTTAGTTTATTAAAGTCGCATGCATATATTGATGACTATTTATTAAAACAATTAAATTTTAAATGGAAACCTAGAGACACTGATTATTTTCAGTGTAGTTTCACTGTACATGCATTTTTATTATTTTCTTTCAAAATGTCGTCTTTGAACATTAAAGTTAAATACTATAAATTAAATTTCTTCATCCGTTTACTATTTTCACATTTATTAATATTTTTGTAAATCTTTAAGTACTTCGTAGTAACTATAGTATAGATATTTAAATTTTGTTGTACAGTATTCTCTCCGTAAATGTTAAAAAGATCTCTACCGTAAATGTTAAAATTGTATCCCCAAGAATGAAACACGATCGGTCGCCGAAACGACGAGGATCGAATATCGGTGAGACACATGTTAATGCAAGCAAAGGAAAAGATTGTAACTTTCTTATTTCTTACTATTTTTTCATGAAACTTTTACTGTTGTATTTGTCTAGATTTCCTGATTAAAATGACACCAAACATAATATAATTACGTTAACAATTGCGTGTGTAACGAGTGATTAAAGTTTTTAACATAAAAGAGGACGGCGAATGGAAAAGAAAGAGAAGCAGAAGATTGACGCGTTCGGCAAACATGAAAGACTCATGCGTCTTCTGTCTTTTAAATTTAAAAATCAAAATTCTTTATTTTTGGGGTTTCATCAATGAAGCTTTGGGGTTTCATCAATGAAGCTTGATTATCGTATTCGTCTCATTTTTCTGATTAAAATGGTACCAAACACGGTATAATTAAAATCATAATTACTTGTATAGCAAGCCTTTAGGAGGAATTCGCATCTCTACCGTAAATGTTACATCCCAAACTTTTATGGCTTGTTACATGAGTAATTACGATCGTAATCATATCGTGTTTAGTGTCATTTTAATCAGAAAAACGAGACGAATACGATGGTAAAAGTTCCATTGTCGAAAAACCAAAAATAAAGAATTTTAATTTTTAAATTTAAAAGACAGAACACGCACGAATCTTTCATGTTTGCCGAACGCTCAAAACTCTATCCTTCCTTGTCTTTTGTATCGCTGGCTCTTTTTACGTTCGGCACACTACAAAGAATGTAGGACCTCTACCGTAAATGTTACAATCGAGACCGGCAAAAGTAACATTTACGGAGAGAATACTGTAGTTTGCAAAGTAAAATTATATACGTATATATTAAGTATCAAAAAAATTTACATTTTTAAATATCAAATATATTTCCTATATCTGCCTTAATTACATTTTATTGTTTAAATAGAAAAATATATTTATGTGAATCTGTAACAAAATTAAAATTGACTATGATAAATTCACTGTGTAATTCAATATGTTAATTACTTATTGCATCAAAGTAATTAATAAATCGTGAATCATGTTATTATGTAATTAATGTATTCTCTTTTGTTTCAGGCTGTGAGCAATAAGTTAACGTCGGAAAATCGGTAAGTTGATCAACCTGATTTTTTATTGAATGTTTATACAGGGTGTGCTATATATTTTGACCAACTTAAATATTCATTTTAATATTTATTTACTTGCTACATATGAAATATATTGAATGTGAAACGTACGAGGAGAAAAATTATTCTTTTGGTTAAGGTAATGACAAACAACAAAGTATTTATTGAAAAATAATTCATGAGGATTTTTTATAGAAGTTGTTTCCTAAAATTGGTTCATTCCAGTTTTCTGCAACTTTTCTCTAAATTGATATCGATATTAATAAGTATGTCCCTAAAATTGAAAAGCTATTTATCGTGTTTATAGAGTTATATATGTTTAAATGTCATCACATTATATTTTTTATACTAAGCACAAACTAATCTTTAAACTTTTTCCATATGATTAGCTCTAAAGTGATGACATCGTTTGCGAAATGATTAAAAATTGCAGCAGAATTAATAAAAAAATCGACGAATCATACATTTTACTCTGACGATCATTTACAATTTAGTTTAATTAAATTAACAACACAGTTAAATTAATGCAATATGACTTTCCGATGATGAGGCTTGACACTTATACATATAACTTACAGGGAAAGGCACGCAAGTGTCCCCCTCCGATTTTGATGAAACTTCGTAGGTTTGTTAAGCAGGCAAAAATAAGGGACACGTATTTTTTTTATCGGCTGAGACGCAGGTTTAAGGGGTGAAACGAGCCCTTAAAGTTTCGACCCCTTTTGGCTATCTGGAAAACCATACGAGATACATTAAAACTTCTAATAGGAAAGTTGTATGGTTTCTTGCGTATAATAACAGGATGTTAACGGATTTTGCAAAATACAATTTTTTTATAACAAAAAAATTTTTCATAACCTTATTTTACAATTTATTCAAATTTGTATAATGACAAAAAGTGTAGAGAATTTTATTACAAATCTATTGGTATATATACATACGATATTGCCTCCTACAATTCTTCGGATTTTTATCATAAAGGTTACGCGCGCGCGCCCGCTAACGCCCCACACTATACTAAACCGGATGAAGTTGGAGGATATTACACTGTCAGTCAACATTATTTATAAGCATAAATGAGAAACAATTACATTTGCGTTATAATTAACATTTATCGTTAAAGTACACAGATATTCTATATGTTAATTTTATTAGGTAACGAATAGTTTGAATAAATTCGGGAACATAATTACGACAATGGTGGTATTGCTCGAAGAAATGATACAAACGGTTTTCGATGCACCATGCACATGAAATAATTGCTGCGTCACTACATATGTGGCATAGTGGTTCATTATGTGATGCATAGCAAAATACGGGATTTTGAAAGTGAGGTGGTCTTGACGATATGTATCCACTTTACCATGGAGTATTTGAACCTCGATTACAACAGACCATGTTCAAGGCGATGAATATTTTTGTTATGGCATCGACATCCGGAAAACTTACAAAAGAAAATTTTAAAACCTGGTTAACAGAAGTTTATTCTCCAAATACAAACAACAAAACAGCTATATTATTAGATTCTTGGAGCGTGCATTGTTGTCGTAGGGTTGACGAAGCTATTCCGATAAATAAAGAAATAACGTTATTTATGATTCTAACTGGAACTACAAAATATTTACAACCATTATACGTGTACGGATTTCGCGTATGGAAAAATTTTGTTTGTCGCTTTTCGGACATAATTGTTATATTGCAATATGACATTAATCTCCACACACGAGATACCATTCTAAAACTACAATGACTTGTTCATAATCTGTTTTCTTCACCGCGATTTGAAAATTTCATTAATGTTCATGAAATAATGTTCATGATACATGTTATATCATGTTCATGACATAAAAGAGGATACACATCGTCAAGACCACTTCATTTTCCAAATACAGTAGAATTTTGCTATGCATCACATAGTGAACCACTATGACATATACATATGCGGTGACGTAGCAATTATTACAAATACTTAATGTCGGAAACTGTTGTGTTTGAAACATTTTTTCGAAGAATTCCATTATTGCCACGATTATGTTCCCTAACTTATTCAAATTATTCGTTACCTATAAAATTGACATATACATAGAATACCTATGCTAAATTGACATATATATAGAATACCTATGTACTTTAACAATAAATGTTTTGTAATACAAATTTAATAAAATTAACAGTTATGTATAACACAAATATAATTATTGATCTGTTGAACGACTGCGGCGTCGATCGACAGTCATCGTTTATTGTCGAAAGAAACGTGTCGAAATAAAATGTATCGTTGTTTTTAATCGAGAATTCCGTTTTCTTGCTTTCAAGATACTATAGTTTAAATCATTTATGAATTTTCGTTCACGTGTTTTCATTCGTCCTATTTACGTGTCGGACTGACAGTGAAAATTAGTGCAAATTAGTGAAAAATGAGAAAGAAAAGTGATAATGAAAACTCATAATGAAAGATGAAAGTGATAGGTGACAATGAAGTTTCTTGAGAGTTTTTTGAGAGTTTCTGTATGGTGATTGATTTATATTAACAGTAAGGACCGGTGGATCGGACCGGTGACAGAGACGCATTTTTATTGTGATTATTTGCGGTTTAATGGGTGAGCTACATTTAAATTTATTAATTACTGAATTCACATTTTTATTTGTTGAATAGAAAAGTTATTCAATTTTTTAAAAATGAGAATTTGTTCTTTTTCATCATTACAATATCTAACGAAAATAATTTTCCATATTTTAGCTATTATTTCTTTGCGATAACGAATAAACGTATTGAATAAATTCGATTTACTTTGATTACGTGAGTAGAGACTAATTTTGTTATTTCTTGTTCATGAATGAATGATAATTCAACAATAATCCAGATTTTTTTATTTATTATTCAATGTAACTTTCATCTAACAGCTTTCTATTATACCGACGTTGTTCCGACGTTATACCAACGTTATACCGACAGTATCGATACATTTGTTCACGACGACGATCGGCCGCCATATTCGAAGCTGTCGCTCACGCTGTCGCGCGACCGGTCTATACGCG